ATCATATACAAGCTTTTGTTCAGATACTAGATGGCACCACCATGCTCACAGTGGTCTAAAAGACACATTGTGGGGGCTAGTTCTGTATGGGGATAGTGTCCAAAAGGGGACAACAGAAGCTGGTTCCAACTGAGAGGGCCACAGTGTGAGGTTAGGACATAAGTCTTGGCCATGAACTCAGAAGAGACTGAGGCTCCCCTGGACTGGCTCCGCTCTCTCTAGGCTCATCCTTTAGGAAAGTTACTAAGAAGGAATCTGACTCCTGCCTCAGGAAAGCTGGGCTCTTTCTCCACCACCTGTCCAAGTTCCATATCCAACAATAGGGCTCAGATTAGGCTCCCATTGGATACTATCCCCCATTAGAGTACCATGCTTCAGTTAGGTCTGATTGCTCACCAGCTGCTGGCCATCACCTAGTCCTCAATGTCATATACTATTACAATGGCCAAAACAGACTAGACTGACGCCAAGAGCCCCCCCCTCACCCCAGAGCCCTGCCAAAGCTTACTTCACTCACTGTACTTACTGCCCTGGCAGTACCCAGATTGACAAAGGCAAGCCTAATAGGTTCCTGGGAGGAAAGCGCTAGTCCTATTCTATTGAAATGCAAATTCACCATTAGGAGTTTAGCTTGACCAAGGAAGTTTTCCTGCTCACTCAGTAAAACTCACTTCAGTAGCTGGATGTGATGCAGCCAACCCCAAAGGGCTTTGACTATACAGAAAGAACATAGCAGAGGATAAAGGATCATGGTGCCATGATAAGTATATTCTGTGCAGCAACTGATGACCAGACAGTACTGAGTCTGCCTGGAGCCTGAAAAACCAAGAAAATAGCCATTGCCTATAGTTCCTAATCACCGCTAAAAAGGAAAAGGTTGGCGAAAAAAGAGAAATTCAATTTCCATGCCCTGGGGAATGAGTGTGCAGGGCACTTAAGCCCAGGACCCAACGGGCCATCCCACATTCACACAAGCTTCCAGGAGGCATGGGGATTCTATAAGGAGATCATTCTTGGATGTCCGCTAAATCCGTTGTGAGGTCTATACACGAAAGTTGCCGCGTGGTGGCAGCAAAATGTCTTGCGCCAAACCTAAAGAGCCCCCCAGTATTGGAATCCACACATGGCAATGTTGTGGATCACCCAAGTTCAGTACTTTAGGGGGTCACAAATGTCACTAGGAGGGCAAGACACATGCATTTTTAGGCTAGTACCCCATGGTCGTGGACTCCCAAATCAACAAGTTCGGCTTACTGTTGTCGGCGAAGAATCCTTTGTATGTAAAGACCAGGGTTGCCGCGCGGCGGCAGTGAAGTTTCATATATCGCAGCTCTGAAACAGATTGAGGTTTTTCCCTGTATCACCATCTAAGATCTCACCGTCGTCATGAGCTTCATGAGGCCAGGGGTTAATGATAGTCCTTGATAGAGCGTTCTCAAGAGCTAACTCAGGCATCTGAATTATAGGGCTATGGCGCCATCAGTGCTACGGTGTGAAAACTGAAGTATATCTACCACATGTGTTGATCATGGACCGTGTCGCAAGTATCATAATGCCAACCTCACTAAGCACAGTCCTCAAATCCTGCACTTCTGTAAGGATACCTGACACCCCTACCCAAAGAACCACTTAATGAGACTCTAGCAAGAAAGTCTAGCAATTTGAGCGTTCGTATGCTAACTGGGGTGTTCAGATGCTAATGATCTCCTGGCGGTTGCAAACAATTCTGAAACTGCATTCTCTCTCATTTGGAGTTCAGCTGCCAGGTTGTGAGCTGCCGAACCCTAGATCAAGCCTTGGGTGCCAGCTGAGCCCAAAATCAGTCGTAGAGGTGGTAGGACCCTTGGCTGTTTTGTGGCAGGTCGTACTTATGGTACAGCCTATAGGTGGCAAAGTTGGGGTTTACCTGTTGCACTGTCCCTGAGATTTTTGTTAAAAGTAGAAGGCAGGACACCTGTGCTCTTCTGGAATGGTCTCCTTTGGTCTCAGATGCCATAAACCAGTGCAAGTGGTTCAATGCCAGAAAGCACAGAAGCCATTGTGAGTGGAAACAGCAAAACTGCCATGCTGGTGATGGAGTCGTCTTAAACATCACGTTCCAGAGGCAGCCAAAGTTGAGGTTTGCCCTCGGCAACGTCAAAGCGCCAAAGTTCGGGTTCGCCCGTAGCAATGTCAGAAGACCCTATTCCTCATTGTTTGATAATGTTTATAACGGGTTGGGACACCTGTGTTTCTGGAGGTCTCTGAACCTTTGGTCTCTGAACCCCAAAACTCGCCAGCGTGGCTCGCTATCAGAAGGCATAGAAGCTGTTGTGTGCACAGGGAAATAGATGTAGCCGCGCGGTGGCAGCATACTCCTACATATCGTAGCCCAAATGCAGCCAACTTTTGGGGAGCGATTCACTCCCAGCAATATCCTAGGTCACCCAGACCTGACGAAGTTCATAGGGGTGGTAAGATGTGTGCACCTCTGTATGGTTCCCTTGCACATTAAAACCAGAGAACTTGACGCATTCCCTACACAGCCCGAGATCGTCAGCGGCTGGTAAGACCGAAGTTGCCGAGCGGTGATCAGTACAGTCCTATATACTTTATCATAGAGGTGACCAAAGTTGGGGTTTACTTATGGCAAACTCATGAGTCACTCAGGCCTAGCATTCAATGGTTCACAAGGCTCATGGGGTGGTAGGACACACGCATTTCTTGGGTAGCGCCTTCGGTCTCGCGCCCTTCACGATCGATCGATCGATCGGTTCACTCCCCACACGGTACAGATTTGGCTATAGCTAGATAGACAGACGTTACCGCGCGGTGGCAGTACAATCCTACATATTGCTGGGCAGAAGCAGAATACGTTGGGGTTCCCCGTGACAAAGCTTCATGTCCCCCATGTGCAACAAAGAAATCAAGCATTTGTGCATTTACAGAATGGTCCCCTTCTGCCTTGGGAGCCCTCCGGCTAGCCAGAACTGCTCAATCCAAGCTCAATACAGAATCGGTTATGGGTGGGAGACACAGAAGTTGCTGCGAGCATGAGCGTTTCACACGCGGAAACCGCAATAGTCGTAAAAGCAGAGTCTGGGGTTCAACCATTACAAGGTCCCAGGTCACCGAGGAACCGTAGCGAGAAATTGCAGAGCTTCAATTGGAGGCTAGAAGAAGTCAGGGCCTCCTTAGTTTGAAGCAAAATGGTGGAGGGAGATAGCAGGAGGGAGCATAGCGGGTGGGGCACGGTGAGGAGTAGAGCAAGGGATATAGCGAGGGAGTATAATGGGGAGATATAGTGGCGGTATAGCGAAGGGAATAGTGAGGGTATAGTGGGGGGTATAGTGGGGGTAAAGCAGGGGGCAAATGGGGGCATAGCAGGAGGGCATAGCAGGGGTACAGTGGGGGTGTGGCAGGGAGGTATAGTGGGAGTTATAGCAGGTGTATAGCGGGAGTATGTGGGGAGTATGGAGGCTATGGGCGGGTATGGTGGGGAGGATGACAGGGGATATAGTGGGGGTGTAGTGGGGAGGGTATAGTGGGGAGTATAGGGGAGTGTAGCAGGGTGACATGTGGGGGAGGAGGAGGGGAGAGGGGCCAACTCCCGCCAGACCAGTGAACAGCCCATGTGTGATGGCCAACCCTTGACCTTTGTTCTGCTGCTGCCAGGGTTGCTGAGGTTCATCACAAGACAAGGTCATTCTTTTTCCTCTTATATACCAATCTTTGAAAAGGATCATTTGTACAAGAGCACGGAGATAGCCACAATCACCACGAGGTGACAGCACAGACTCAGACATTACAGCGCTAAGATAACAGAGGCTGGGGTCCACTTATGGCCAAATAAGACGCCCCAATAGTCATTAAAACAGAGGCTGGGGTTCAACCATTGCAAGGTCCCAGGTCATCTAGGAACTGTAGTGAGAAGTTGCAGAGCTACAATTGCAGGCTATTGGAGGCGTCCGTCAGCATCATAACTTAAGATCCACGCACAGCAATCACAGGGCTTTTCACAGAGTAAAAATGAGGGATTGCCCTCAGCAAGAGCCAGAAATGAGTACTCAACTAACATGCAGCGACTGGGCTGAGGATCTGCCAAGGTGCTATTTCACCTCACATATATGAGGACCTGGCAAGTGGTCATGACTGGTCAGCCCTGGAGTCTTCCTCACACCTGGAGCTCAAGTCAGTTTCATGTAGAGCTGCTTTGCTCTGCGGTGCCTTGATTTGTAGATGCTGACTCTGTGGGTTAGAGCCGCAAAACTTTCAACAGAGGCTAAGAGTAATCGTTTACCGCAAGTGAGTAGAGGGACAGGGCATCTCTCCTGTCCCCATTCTATCACTGATAGTGGTAGGATAGGGAGACCATACTGTGCCTCAGGTTGGCGGGGAGACCAAGGCCAGACTGTGAGATAACTAATAAAACTCATCGTACTGACACATGTGATGGCCAGAAAAGGGACGACAGTGAGGAGTGCTCAAATTAGCTACTACCTTACTGAAACCACTGCGGCCAGATAAGGTCAGTCAAGCAGACTACGACAAAGGCTAAGGGTTGGCTACTGATAGGCTGTTTATACTCCCTGGGATTGTATGAGACTCCTGCCCCCAAATTCCTGTCATCGTCATTATACAAGCTGAGGAGTGGGCAGCTTCAGTGTGGCAAGGTGCCTGAGGCACCACTGTTCCAAGAAAGGCTCCAGTGGGCTACAGGGCTATATGTTCTCGACCTCAAGATATTTGAGGACAATGCCAGGCTCTGTCTAAGGCATTCCAAAGTGAGAGTTGTGGTGAGGCTGTCTTTGGAGAATTTCAGGACGGGTGCGGGTGCGGGGTGAGGCGAACGTGCGCTGGAACGATCCAGGGTGGAGGTGGGCCCTGCGGGGCCCCCGGCGGGGCCTTGTACTGATTGGTTGACAGAGTAGGGGCGGGAATTCTGGGCGGAGCCACCCCAGTTAGAAAAAGCCCGGGCTAGAGGGCCCGAAGCACCGGGTGTGGGAGGGGGGTGGGGGGTGGGGGTGGGGGGTATCGGGGAAACTGGGGAAGATGGGAGTGCTGGAGGAGAGTTGTGGGGTCCGAGGAGCACCTCGGCATCTGGAGTCTGGCAGGAGTGTTGAAGGACTGAGGGGCTAGCTCAGGCAGTGCAAAGGCAGCAGGACCTGGGAGGAGGGAGCATGGTGTGGTTCCCAGGCATCGCAGAGGCTGGAAAACATCGGGGCTGAAGGGCCTGAGCTAGGGTTGGTGTGGAATGGGGAGCCAGACATTCATCCCGGTCACTTTTGGTTACAGGACGTGGCGGCTGGTCGGATAAAGGGGAGCTGCTGGGAAGGGTTCGACCCCAGACCTGGGCAGTGAAGGTGTAGCTGGCAGCAGTGGGCAGGTGAGGACCGCCGTCTGCTGGGCAGGTGAGTCTCAGTCTTCTCTCGTGGCCTCGCTCCACTGACCTTCTAAAAGAAGGTTTAGAGAGCGAGGCCGGTGAGAAGAAGCGGCTGGCCTCCCAGCAGAATGGCACATAGAAAGGCAGGACAGTTAGCAAAGGAGACATCGTCTCGGGGGGAGCCGAGACAGAACAAGGCTGGGTCACCCCAGGGTGGAAAGAGCATTTAGAGAGAAGAAAGAAGAGGTGCAGGGCTGCCAGTAAAGACTGAGGCCGCTGCCTCCAGGGAGGTGATAGGAGTCCTTGGAGACAGTGGCAGAGACCATGGGATCCAACAAGAACAGAAGCATTCTAGGCTGGGGTCAAACAGGGCAAGGTGGGGTCACAAGACACAGATGGGTCCCCAGCCGCCACCACATCCCACCCACCGTAATTCATTTAGAAGCAGGTTCAAGAGTGGCTCTGGTGGCCTTTGCCAGAGCTTCGATGGCCGGAGAATGGGAAAGAAGGGCAGTGCAGGGTGTCACCAGGAGGGGAGTGGGGGCTGCAGGTATTGGACTCCAGAGGGATTTTACAGCAAGGAGGCTGCAGTGGGTCCAGCCTGCAGACACACCATTCCCATGAGGCACTGCGGCCCAGGGACTGGTGCGGAAAGGGCCCACAGTGGACTTGGTGCACTGTATGCCCTAACCGCTCAGTCCCTGGGTCTGGCATGACAGACAGGACATTTCCAGGGGAGTCAAGGGCACAGGATGAAGCCAGACAAGGCGAGGCAAGCATGGCAGAATGAATGAGCTTTCTAGGGAGGGAGGTTGGGGGCAGGTAGAGCGAGGTAAAGCAGGTGAGGTGGTGAGAGCAGCGAGGCACTGGCCTCCAGAGTCCGTGGCCAAGGAGGGCCTTGCGGGCGGCGACGGAGCAGTGATCGGTGTCTCGGAGAGCTCGGACTGGAGACTAGGGTAAGTGTCTGTCCCACTCGTGGTCACCCAGTCTCCTCCCACAAAAGTCCAATTAACTCATGTCTTCCCTTCTCCCCACAGCCACGTCTCCAGCAGAGGTGGATGTGCCTGCCAGTCGCTGAAGGCGAGGATGACAGGTGTGGTCAACTGAGAGAAAGACATGACATGGTCCGGTGTGATGGAGAGGACAGAAGGACAGTCATCCAGCCTTCCTGGTGAGCATACTCCCTGCCATAGGGCTAGCCTGCTCAACCACCTAATTGCCCACTCACTCACTCTAGGTTCTGTCCTTTGCAGAATACCATGAACTGGCACCGTGGGACACTGCCGTAGAAACCGTCTGTTCTTTCACGTTTCCCAAAGAGCTAACACATCTCTGCTGCTCTCTGGATCCTCCTCCCCCTACCTTGAACCCTCAAGATGAAAGGTGAGGGCTCTCCTGCCCCATGTGGGTGGGGCATGGCAGGCTGCCAAGTGCAGGGGTCTCATTCTCTCCCACCCACAGAAATGGTGCTACCCAGCTCACGTCTGGGCCTTTGAATCCGGGGACTTCTTTAAGTCCGTCTAGTTCTGAATCAAGAATATGCTGTACTCGGAACCACTACACTACCTGCCTCAGGAATCGGCTCAAAGGTGAGCCAGGGTACCCTTTGGAAGCTTGCCAAGCCCACTCCCCCCTCCTGGCCCCCCCTCATTTGTTTTTTTTTTTTCTCTTCGCAGGTGAAGCTGAAAGAACAGACGGTGTCAACATCTTGAAAGAGCAGACCTATAGCACCCACCCACCCAGAGACTCCATCTTCATGGCCAACTCTGCCTGACCCGGGAGACCACCACCCACATCATCCTGGAGCCAAGCCTCTACCCCAAGATGACTTCATCATCTCCCTCCTGTCTTTTTCTTCTTCCTCCTTTCCTGTAACTTTGTTTCTTTCCTTTTGTTCCTTCTTTGCTTGAGAGCCTCAAAGCATCCGTGACTCTGTTTCCCCACTTACCCCTTTTGAATTTGCACTAAGTCGATTGCACTGGTTTGGAGTCCCGGAGATAGCTCTGAGTCTCTCCGTATGAATGTATACAGTGAATGTGTAGGCCCCTTTGGCTATGCCATCCCAGTGCCCGCCTGTCATCCATCTCTGTCTGAGGGCAACTGGGTGTGGCCGTGTGCTTGAGGCCTCGCCTTCCCCTCGCCTAGTCTGGAAGCAGTTCCATCATAAAGTGTTCAACATGCCCCACTTCATCCTTTGCCCCTCCTCACCAGGGCCTCACCAGAGGTCCTGGATCCATCAATAAATACAGTTACAGTCATTGGTCTTGTGGACTTGAATATAATGCGACTCGCTTGTGGGGGGAGTTGGGGGCAGGGGAAAGAAATGAGGAAAGGGGAATAAAAGGGAGGGGTACAACACCCATAATGAAGAGGGTTATGGAATGGGGAGGGCCTCTATGGTGAAATGAGGGATAGGAGATGGGAGGGGCTTATGAAAGGATGGTGGCATTGGGATGGGAGGCCCATGAGATGGGCAACAGGGAGGGGCTCATGAGATGCCAAGAAGCTATGATATGGAAGGGGCCTATGAATATGAAATGGTACCTAAGGAATGGGCCAAGCAATAAACATCACAAGTGAAGGATGGCAGAGTGCCACATAGAGACAGAGGCAGAGCTGTGGGGGGGGTCCTTCAAGACAGGGGGGCTGGGCAGGTGAAGGACATCCTTAGCAATGAGAGAGATGGTGAGCCCAACCAGAAACTTGGATTCTACACTGCTCCCAGTCCTGCCTGGATGACTCCTGAGTCCTCAGACTAATACCAGCTCCTGAGGCATAATGTAGACCGCAAAGTGAATCCGACTCCTCCCAGTGAGGCTCGGGAGGGGTAGGCAGTTATACGTGAGGGTAGACCACAGCCACATAAAGAGGCCCATGGTGGCCTCTGGGCTTCTCTCTCCTGCTCTGAGCATGCTAAGCTCTGGACTGGAGTCCACGTAGATGCCTGCAGTGGTACCCTCCCCTTGCTGTCTGCTGTGGGTAGGAGCTGAAAGGCCAAGGAAGAGAGACAGGGACATGCACAAGTCTGAATGTAACTCAGAACACAGGGCACAGCGAGTCTCCAAGGAGGCTAGGGAGGTCAGTGTGAAAGTCAGGCAGATGAAGGACCGCCACTGAGGTCTTGCTTCCTATGGGTTTGCGATTAGTGCCCTCATAGAGACAGCAACTGGTTGGGCTGACCCCTCTGTCTCTGAGCCTCCCACCAGCCTCCCAGCTCCTAGACTCTTAGCTGTACAGATACTGGGAAGGGACTTGAAGAGCAACTTAAAAAAAAAAAGGAGGCTGGGGTCCTCGGCTCTCATCCCCCTTCCCCAGCCCCAGTGCTTACAGCAGTCAAGAAAATCTCCTCCAGCTGACAAAGACCAGACAGGACTGACTGTCAGGAACACCCACCCTCTCCGCCCCATACCCCCTCTGGGCAGTGGGCCAGCTCCTCCCCACCCCCACCACATGCCTGGTCTCTCTTCTGGACCCTCCACAACCCTTTCTCTCGCCATCATTTTGCCCTCTAATTTTCTGGGAGGGGGCCTCTGTGGTCTCTCTCTGCTAGAATCGCAGCACTAGTTAAGCACCCACTGAGCACAATTACATGTGGGTGTTTCTCTGATCACCTCCACAGAGGATTTCAAAAGCTGCTAGTCAGAACATGTCCATCTTCCTGACCCTACTAGAGGTTACTTGCCCCAGTGACAAAGTAGCTTGTCCTGGGGTGGGGGTAGGGTAGCTACAAACAGCCTTTATGACAAACATCTGACCACCCAACTCTGCAAAAACCAGGCTCAGAAGACAAAAGCTGCTGCCTTACAAGAGACGTTGGCAGGAGCAGCGAGTAGGCACTGGAGACAGCCACAGGGGATGGATGTTGAAGATTGGGGTAAGGGTACCCAAGAAGGCCCAGAGTCTGTCTAAGAGACATAGAAATAGAGTCACAGAGTGGAAAGGAAGCTCAGGAATGACATGAGCTACCCCTCTGGGCCCTGCTTTCCTGGTCATCTGGAGAGCCTGGCGTGCTAAAAGTGAGTGTTACACAGGCTTTGAGGTATGGGGGCTGGGATCACATCTCTACTCCAGAGTTCTACCCAGAAGATGCTAAGACAAATCTGGAGAGATGAGAGTGCCAGCGTGGCAAGGGAAGAATTGCTTCTTCCTGTCCTGTCTCACGGGTTCATGATGGGTGCTTCCTCGAACCACTCCCGTGAATGTCAGAGTGAGGGTGTCACAGGAGTTTATCTCCACCTCCTTTATTTAATGCAGAGGGTTCTGAAGCCTGTGTCTGGAGTCATACCCAGGAGCTCCCCCAGAAAAACTCGATGAATATGTGGGAGCAAGACCTCAAGGTGCAGGTTGGTGGGGGCTAAATGCCCCCAAATCACCAAAGCTCTGCAAACAGGTGTGCCTGTGGCTCTTGGGCCTCCAGAGCCTCGCCCAGGGGTAGGGGCTGGGAAAGCAGAGGTGGCCCAGCCCCCCACCCCGCAGCCTGCACAGCCCCTCCATCAGCCCACAGTTTGGAATGTGTTTACCTTCAGCCCAACCCGATTTCCTGCTTTTTAGAAAAGGGGCTTAGAGAGGGCTGCTAGACAGGCTCCAAGCCTGCCACCCAAAGGCACTTTCAACCACCCCCCTCCCTGTGTGGAGAAGCTAACAGGGGCTTGAATTTCATCCCCAAACCCCAGCCAGGGTGGGTTGTGGGGAGGGTGGGGAGGGGCTGGCTGCTCCACGCTGCACAGCCTGGGAGGAGATGTTTCAAATCTTCATGGGGCCCAGGGTCCCCAGCACAACCCCTACCCTGCAGGCACAGCACTATGGGGGTCCTCACACACCCAACCCCCTCCCCAGCTATGTTTCAGTGACAAGTTAAGGTTTGACAAAGACTGGAGTAGCCCATTAGAGAGTCCTTATCACATGTGGTGGTGTGGCCATAGTAATAACTCAGGATTTGTCCCTGAGGACCCCTATGCTGTGGGTGAGTATGTCTGTATGTGTGTGTGAGGACCACATGGCCTTACCTATATACCCTGGTGTATGTGGTAGGATCTGTGTGCTGACCATTTGCCCAGTGGCTGGTGCTGAGGCTCAGGCTGAAGCTGATGCTGAGGCAAGGGGGTCTGTTCTTTTACAGGATTTACTGTGGGGGTGTATGTGGTCAAGGCCTCCAGAAAAATGTACTCTTGAGCTGTGTTGGGCGTCTGTGGCTTCATGTCTCAGGTTGAACTGTGTAACCCAAGAGCACGTTTTAGGCAGCAATCGTGGACATGGGGGAGGGACAGCAGTCAAGATATTTGCTATCCCACTGAGTAGAGAACATTCCAATACTGTGCAGGGAAGGAGGCCTCTGAGGCCCCCGGGGGCTGTGGGTTTGACTGCAGTACACCCTGCAGAATCTCAAACATGGCATGAGACTGCAGAGGTTGGCCTCCCCCTATCTAAACTGCAAGAGGACAGTCTCCTTTCCAAAGGAACTTAGAAAGCTGGGAGTCTGACTAAAGATTTATGTTGTCCTCTTCAGCCGAGCACACCAGCATCTGACCAGAACCAGAGGCTGGGCTCAAAGACTCCAGCATGATTCCAGCCTCTCCACAGAATACTTATCTTTTGTATGTGTGCACAAGTACGTACTGCACGTGTTTATGCATGCACATGCATATGTATGCACACTTGTGTGTATGTGTGTCCCATGAGGAACTATAGCCTTCTCTAAGATTGTGTGAATCTCCAGAAAGGGGAACAGAAGGTTCTAGAAGGAGCTATGGTCAGCTCTGGCCTCCCCTCAGACTGTTTTAGCCATGCTGGCTCAGCAGAGCTACCTACTCTCTTTCCTTTCCTTTCCTTTCCTTTCCTTTCCTTTCCTTTCCTTTCCT